AGAGAGAGACAGAGCATGCACGGGGGAGGGGCAGAGAGAGAGGGAGACACAGAATCGGAAACAGGCTCCAGGCTCCGAGCCATCAGCCCAGAGCCCGACGCGGGGCTCGAACTCACGGACCGCGAGATCGTGACCTGGCTGAAGTCGGACGCTTAACCGACTGCGCCACCCAGGCGCCCCTACAATATTATATTAGTTTCAGGTGTATGTCACAGTGATTTGACATTTATGTACATTATGAAATGATCAGCATGATCAACGTAGTTACCATCTGTCACCATACAAAGCCATTACAAAATTATTCACTATATTCCCTGTGCTATATTTGCATCCCCATAACTTATTTATTTGGTAACTGGAAGTTTGTACCTTTTCATCCTCCTCACCTATTTTTCCCATCCCCCCATTTCCCTCTGGCAACCACCAGTTTGTTCTGTATATTTATGAGTTATATAGCTGCAATTTGGAAAGTTTGATATATAAGTATTTAAGTTTGGGAATATTCCTTATAAATCTGTCATTTGTCTCATGTAGGGGTCTGTGTTTTCTAAATTGAAATTCTAGACACTTGGTCTGAAAAGCACAATTATATAAATGTGGATAGCAGTTCAGAGTATTTAGGATGGGCCGTGTGCCAGAAATTGGATGTGTGGTTATCCTCTAATACATTGTCTTTGTGAAATGGTTGTCTAAGAACTTTAGTTCCCTAGAGGATGGGTTTACTGCTTGATTTTCTCTTAAAAGTACTAGCTCAACTATCTCATTGATGTTACTGACAACTGTAATTCCAAGTGATGTAAGCAATCACTTTGTAATTCTCTTATGAAAGAGGGTGGGAGGTCCAGTAGGTAATGACAGTCTAGGGTTGTTGTGATGGACCATAAAGAAGTTAGATTGGCTGGCAAGTAGTCTCAATAAACTTTGGAGAAAGAGACTCAACAGACCACAAATTTTACTTTCTGCTTGTCCTTTGAACATGAATATGAAACATGAGTAAGGGGTGGACTGACAGATCAGAAGGATTTGAAAACAAGACCACTCAAGTTTAAATTCCTCATGAAGTAATCATAACTTTTAGATCTGTCTGGACACTGCTTGTTTTCTGTAGGTAGGATGGATTGTTGAAGTACATGGTTATTCTAGTCTTTAAGAAAAATAACGTAGGAAGCTTTTATCTTTTCTTTTTCAGTTATATTGCTATTTATAAAGTTTTGACCTTCAGCTCAGCTCTGGGAGTGATTTGCCGTGTTTAAGTTCATATATGTAAACATCCAGTTACGGTTTTTTATTAGTAGTAAAGGAAATGTTTCTCCTACTATGTTGTACTGAAATCTATGTGCATCTCAGTAGAAAATTATACTCTTGATTTCAAATACGTTTTCCTTTATGTTCAGTATCTTTAACCTATATATCATGTGCTTATCTCTGCTGGAGCAGGAAGAATGGTATAAAAATGAAAAAACATCAACCTATGCTTTGAATGTGGCAAGAAGAGAATAAGGGCTATTGTCGTGATTGCTTGAATGCAGGACTTCACACTGGAAGAAAAGTTAGATGTAAACTCTAATTTCTTAGTTGTAATAAGCATCTCTTCTTGGGAATTGGAGATTTCAAAAAAGAAAAAGGTAAATTACATTCAATAATATAGTTTATTTTCGGTTGATCTACGAAACTTTTTCTTAGAGTCATTCCCATCTAGCACTTTTGTTTTTATTCAGTTCTAAGGCAATTTGAGATACCAAATGATATTGTTCTGATGTCTTGGCAAACAGCTTTCTTGTTATAATGCCTAGGTTTTATATTGGTAGGAAAATAGCAGAGAACTGTTAAACATTTCTTCTTTCACTTTGAAATTTTTCATTTTGTTTGTTTGTTTATTTATTTATTTATTTATTTATTTATTATATTTTAAGTGTTTGTTTATTTTTGAGAGAGAGAGAGTGCGCACAAGCCAGGGAGGGGCAGAGAGAGAGGGAGACACAATCTGAAGCAGGCTCCAGGCTCTGAGCTTGTGAGTGCAGAGTCTGATGCAGGGCTTGAACTCAAGAACTGTGAGATCATGACCTGAGCCAAAGTCAGAAGCTTACCAAACTGAGCCACCCAGGCACCCCTGAAATTTTTCATTTTAGCTTGAGTTGTTTTCCTATATTTGCTTTAATATTCTGTTTCTCCTTATGGCTTATCTTTATTACTTTTAGAAACCCGCTTTTTTTCTTTATATTTGTGATTTTTATTTCCTGGCAAAAAATTAAGACATCGAGATAAAGATGAAGGAGAAAAACAGAAACTGCTGAGAGGTGACACCTGTCAACATTTTAATATATGTCTTTTTTAAATGTTTATTTATTTATTTTGAGAGAGAGGGAGCATGAGCAAGGGAGGAGCAGAAAGAGAGGAGAGAGAATCCCAAGCAGGGTCCTCACTGTCAGCACAGAGCCCAACACAGGACTCAATCTCATGACCCTGAGATGATGACCTGATCCAATATCAAGTCAGATGCTTAACCGACCGAGCCACCCAGGCGCCCCTAATATTATGTGTCTTTCTAAAGAGAGGTCTTAGTGCTCCTCAGACCACATTTGCTTAGATGTACAGATGAGTCTCTCACATCTCAGTGCTGTACTTGCTCATGGCGGGAAGTCAGGTCTTTTCTCGGCATGACCTTCCAGGAATGACTTTTAGTTTAAGTCCCTGGCTGTGAGGGGCTTCTTGCATATTTGCATTGCTACCTGTGTCCCTGTAGTCCCTGTAGCTCTGGGGTCTGCTGCCCTTGCCGTCCTTCTCCACCACTGGCTGCCGCTGTGCTGCTGCTAACTGGCTCTGAATAACACATTGTCTAAACTGCTGGCGTTTCCACAGTACACAGACTATGCTTCGTATGGTGCTGCTGAATTTCTGTGGAGTGTCATCTTTGGCCTTTTCCCTCTCTGGGCATAAGAGAAACCTATGATTTTTATGGCCAACTCCTCGAGAAGGGTTTCTATAGAGGAGCAGTGTGCCCTGTTGACAGTTATTTCTTCTATTTCACTGCTATTCCTTCCCAGAATTTACAGGCACTTTGAGGTGAGTGGGTGCCTTGGTGTTGGAGAGGGGTGGTGTTGAGGGCTCATCACGTGGTTCGGTGTGTGGTATCCCTGTAGAAGTGGTCAGGAGTGCTGGATCTGTTCTAACTCAGTTTAGGAGGGGAACCACCTCTTCCCTAATATGAGTGTTAGCTTTTCCCTGAGAATTTCTGGCGCCTAGTACAGTGTGTGGTACAGAACAGGCTTCCATAATTATTTGTGGCATGGATGGTTGAATCCACATATATCACGTAAGGGAAGACGTCCTGTGAGGGAATCAAGGAAGTATGATATATTGTTATTCCGAAGCAGCTTTTTCTCTGATACATGGTTTCTGGTTTGTGTTTAAAAACTTTTTCTTTAATGTTTGTTTATTTTTGATAGAGAGGCAGAGTGCCGAGCCAGGGAGGGGCAGAGAGAGAGGGAGACACAGAATCCGAAGCAGGCCCCAGGCTCTGAGCTGTCAGCACAGAGCCCCACGCGGGGCTCGAACTCACAGACCGTGAGATCATGACCTAAGCCGAAGTCAGACGCTCAACTGACTGAGACACTCAGGGGCCCCTGTTTTTTGTTTTGTTTTGTTTTTTAATGTAATCATAATTGGTATAGTCTTGTCATGGGGACAAGAACTACAAATACAGAGAAGTGAAATCACTGAGAAGTGAAATGAGAAGAGAGTGCTGTGGGAGTTCAGAGGATGGAGAGCATGCTAGAATAGCTTAGCCCTGTCTCCTTTATGAAGTGCAGGTGAGGAAGAGTTGTTGTGGTCCCTGCGCATGGGAATGCATTGGATAGGTGGAGTGGAAGAGTGAGGGGGTGGCGGGGCATGCCAGACCCCATACAGAGCTAAAGGGAGTGCTGGTGCAGCGAAGTGTTCCCAGATCCTCCCACAGCAGTTATGCACCCTTTCACCTTGCCTTCTCTACCCTGCGCTCTGGTCCTCCTTGGAAAGTCTCGCTAGGAATAAAATATGAGTACTTTTTCTGCTTACCTATATCAAAATAACAACTGGGGGAGGGGAGCATTTTGAATTCCTTGTGTGGGAGAACAATTAGGAGCAGCAGGCTCTGACATCCTCCACCTCTAGCATTTATGATGATGGATTTGGGTGTCCTCTTAATTGTCGGGCTTAGTTTTTCTGTCCTGCATCTTCAGGGCAAGTGTCTTCCTTTCTGTGCCATTACTCAGCTGAGGGAGGACCAGTTCTACATCTGCGCTGAGAGAGCTGGAAATCCAAAGGGCATTTCCTATCCCCTGCCATGCAGAGGGACAGCACTGTTTTCTCGAAGTCGGGATGGTTTGCACAGTATCCCAGATCTCCTCCTAAAATCACAAGGTTTCCTCCTAATGCTCTTCAAACACAATTACTTTAGGAATGTTATATGACTTGAACTATAAGAGAAGGGGAGGGATTTTATTTACTTAGACCTCTAGAAGTTGAACAGTTACTTTAATTTTCTACCTCTAAGAGTTTGAAGACATTCTTCTTTACCTTTTTAAAAAGTTAAAACCTAAATAGGTTGCAAGACAACTATCACTGTATTTATATGGAAGCCTGGGGTTGGGTTTGAGCAAGTTGTCTGGATATGGAACAGATCTCACTGTGCTCTGGCTCTTTGCTTTCTCCTCATGACTCTGGGCCTTTGAGAAGGTTAAGGAAGAAGAAATGTCATGTCCTTCCTCTTACCCCACCCGAGATCGTTGCAGTTGGTAATTTGTGTTCTCATCTCCCCTCTTTGAAGGAGTCCCTTGAAGAAAAATGTGCTTCTTAAATCAACCCCAGCCTCTCCTCTGTACAAAGAACTCTTTGTGATACTAACAGAAAAGAAGCAAATTAAACTAAAAGCTTATCTGCAGCTCAGAAGAACAAGGAAATGGAGTTTTGAGGAGTGGAGGTAGCCTGGCGTCAGCCATGGGTGATCAAGACACAGCCAGACAATGTGGATCAATTTCTTCAAACTACGGCTTTTCTGCTGCCTGCTTGCAGTGCTGATGGTGGTGGTGTTGGTCATCAATGTTACTCAGGTGGAGGTGAGTATGTCGTATTCTCCTTCATGACTAAGGGAACCAAATTAAGGATTTGGGGCTAAGTAGCCTGGGAAATGTTGGTCATCAGAAAACTTACCCAGGCCATAGCTTTTGTTTTCATTTTCTCAGTAAGGGTTTGGGTCCCTTCAGTGGTTATATCCTGTGTTGTCACAAAAGGTACAGTGATGAAGATGAGAGACATGGTTTCTTCACTTATGGAGCTCATATTCTCAGTGTGCACAGGAGAAAATAATGAGTAGTCATAATCATACAGTAATAATAAATGATAGTTTGAAATTGTGAACAGTACTATAAAGATAGGAAAGCAGGCTACTCTGTAGCAGTTTAGAGAGATGAAGGAAAGCTTACTCAAGGAGGGGACCTTTTAGCGGACTCCCAGCAAAGAGCTGAAGTGTCTCAGAGGAGGGAGTTGATGAGTCTGTTCTGAAGACTATCACACAAGGGCAGAGACTGTGTCTTCCTGAACCCCCTCAACTGCCTGGCGCTGAGAAGGAACTTAGCAGTATCCCCCTCCCCCACTCTGCCACTCACTGCACAGATTCATAGGACACCAAAATTTATGGAGTGATTCTGTATAAGATGCTGCTGTCTGTCTTGTTTGCTTGTGGTACTTCTCAGGTCCAACGTAATCATGGTGTTTCTCTGCTTATTGGGTTTTGCTATAGATTGAATGTCTGTGTCCCCAAACATTCAGGCCCTGTGGGAGCTCAGATTACTGTTGTCTTTCATGCTTTCAAGTGGTTTTTTTATTCCGCCTCCAGGAGTTTCATCATGCACTTGTGCCCTCCAGTACTCTGCCAAGTACGCAAGTGGGACCCTCTGTAGATCTCCCAAGATCTCTCTCTCTCTCTCTCTCTCACTCTGTACCTCTCCTCCTGTCACTCTGTCCTGTGGATTCACCTTGGTCTTTCAAGACTCGGCCACATCGCTTCAACTTGAGCAGTTGGCCAGGCCCCACTTGGGTTCTGCTCTCCATGCTGCAGCCTGGAAATGCTTTCAAGGGTGCAAGCAAAGGATCACCCCCTGTATTTCCTTTCAGGCATCTTTGTCATTTGTTGTCTGATGTCCAATGTCTGGAAAACCATTGTTTCATATATTTTGGACTTTAAAAAAAAAAGCTATTTCAGGTGGAAGGGTAAATCTTACTGTTTTTTTATCTTGGCTGGAAGTTGAAGTCTAAGGAATTTGAATTTGAGGGGAAAGTGATAATTAAGAAGCTGGAGGGGAGGG